GATTAACATATTTTCACTTAAATCTTGGCAGCGATCAATGAGTTTCGCTCCACTATATCTTTTTACGATTATAATGTCACTTAAATGTTCCCCCACCCACCTTTTCCCTTACAACATATTTCTGTGTAATAGATTACTGTTTCAGCGGTTTTGCAACAAAGTTTTCTAAATGCATTCGACGTTTAGCGTATTGCTCGCCAGGATGTACTTTTGAATCAGCTTGGTTCTTAACGTCTTCCGGATTCCCCACCCGCTTTTATTATCACTATCAGGCAATGTAGCGCGTTCTATCTCTGTATTTTGATTTGTTGCATAACCATTGTTTTTCTTTGTTCCGTGTCCAGGTGGTGGTTACACTATCCGCAATGTAGCGCGCTGTTGGACCTACGAAACATCTATCGCTTTGGCCACTGAAATTCCGAACGACCTGCCGTACAATGATTACTACGAATATTTTGGACCGGATTTCAAGTTACACATCAGTCCCAGTAACATGGCCAACCAGAACACCTGCGAATACTTGGACAACATCAAAGCTAAAATCTTCGAAAATATGCGTATGATACCTCATTGCCCTAGCGTTCAGATGCAGGGTGAGTTTTCCTCATTCTTAAGGGTTACTATATCTATCCTGGTTGTCACTATTTTCATGTTAATGATTAATCGCTTTTTCATTTTAGACATCCCCCCAGACACGATTGACGTAGAGGAGGCGGAAGCTGCGGCTAAGGACTTCGCAGATCCTGACAAACGTATCTCAATTCTAGCTGCAGATAAGGCAGTTATGCCAGAAAACGAATTTTACGATGAACCAGAAGAAGGCAGTGGTGCGGCTCTTCGTTCTGGCAAATCTGCATCACGTGATGTGCAGAACCACCGGGACCCTCCAAAGCGAGCCAGAACAGAAGAGGACGGGGCGTCTACCGCTAAAGATTCGAGCTCCAAAGATAGTAACATCAACAAAAAAGCGGATGTTGCCAGTGATAAGGTGAATTGATGCGTTTTACTTTACTAGTATCACATATACATTAGTGCACATCAACCAATGTTTTCATTGCTTTCTTAAAAGTTTGTATTTGTTTTCAGTTGACCCAGCGAGCCACTCAAATGACTTTTCGCAGTTGCAAACCAGGGTCATGCCTGAAAGTTCGATAATTAGAGGTTAGGTTGAGCTCAGTCGCATAGAATGAATTAATTAGGCATCTCTTGACTAGCTTGGATCGCTCGGAAAGAACAGACTTTCGAAGGAGCTATCTACCAATCGTTCCGTACTTTTTCCCGTCATCTGACCGGTGTTCGAATACCAACAGACTATCTTGATCCTGTTTTGGTAATGGCCAAGTCTCTGCACCGTAACGCAGCTGTGACGGAACGGCCGCGATATACTCGATCCTTCACAACCAGCCGGATTTCGCGACGGTTGGGGGTTTAGAACCATAAACGTTCTGCTTAGTGGCTGGACACTAGCAGTACCCGCCCATCAAGCTCCAGTGCATACACAAACTAAAAGTAATTCCATACCGCATGGTTGTCGCGTAGGATAATTGGGACCACGCCGCCATTGCACCCGGCAGGGTGAGCAGCGATAAATCAGCTTCTGCTCGGACTTCTTAACCTTTGTTCAACTCTGTCTTACGTACCCATTCCTATTCCTTTACCCCTTCTGAACGATCCCGAAAAGCGGACCGATAATCAACGCACCAGCGAACAACACAATTAATCGACACGTCTCTAGAAGCTCCCACAGGGGTGCTTCGTTCACTCTTCCGCGTTTAATTTGCGCCCCTTGCCTTATAGGTCAGACTTTTGAGTCGAAGGCTCCGGTTAGGGTTCCCAAAGAAAAACCCCTTCGTCCATGTGGGCAATCGCGAAGTATGCAGAGCCCTAAAGTCCTAGGTTTCCATTTGGAAAACCTCTCCCCTCAATCCTGAATAACTCAAGACGCACGTTTACGCCACCCATTGAATATCACTCAGCGTTTTACCTGCAAGCCCAAACAACCGGAAGTTACGAGATTCTTGAAGCCAAAATTTCCTTTTCAATGTCCGTGCCAAGGCTGGAACGCTCGCTTCTTGATTGGATTCCAGTCAGTAGCCGGCGGTCAGACCATGACATAGCGTATGCAGAAGCTGGTTGGTGCAGCCCACCTCCCAGATTGGGGTCCGAAGGATGAGCATTGTCGTTGGTTAGAGACGCTTAGAGATATGGTCCAGAATAGAAGTCAGTGTGGCGCTAATACTGTACTGTTTGCCTGTCGAAATCCTGTGTCCTATAAAAGAGACAAAATGACACAAAAATAATTGACATCCCATTTACTTGTTATTTTTCATTTTAACGGTTCCATCTTTATTCCTGTGTTCTGTATCCCAACCTTCCCTCACGTTATTGTTATCGTTATTATTGTTTTGGCGTTGGCACCATGCTTGTTTGCAAGCCGGTGTTAATGAGTAAATGTGCTAATTGCCTAGCTTCTGTATGACAGAACTAGTCGAACTATCGTCCCTTCACAGACAATTGTTATTGGTTGATTGGAACTGACCATCTTTCAAACTCCACCTTCACACCTATTCCCCAGTGCCTCCACACAACCATACACTTGAAAACACTAGACTCCAGCTTAGCTCTTGTTAGACCTCATTAGTGCTTCAGTAACAATCATCGCACAAAACTACTTACAAGTAACTCAGTTACATGCTAATTATTAGCCCAGTCTGGTAGGTTTGTGACCGGTTAACCCGTAACCTGTGTGGAAGACCCGACATGGTGAGGCTTTCGATTTGAGTCAAAAGATGGTCAGTTGTTTCCGTTTGTTGCTGTGGGACGTTCACAGACAACTGGATGTCATGATGGCCTCTGGTTGGCAAATACCGATCGAGCCTTCTGTATAAGAGCCTCGTCCGTGTCCAAGTAACAAAACTTGTCCACTTCCTCTATTACTTCCCCAGTGACAGCGATCAGCTATGTCCGTTTCATTACATTCTGCTATATAATTATGGTGATCGTTCAACAACAACTTTTCGTTTGAAGTTTTCTGTTCGTGTTTTGATGTTTTTCTCTGCCTCCGGTGTATTCAACGTAAACTGCGTTCTTTTCAGACCGAACCCAAGCCGGAACAAACTGAGAAAACTGAACCTTCATCAGGTCGTCGAAATGGTGCAATGGAAACGGACGATTGATTCATCAGATAAATTTGTGGTTTCGTCTTTGGGCATCAATGACCAGTTTTCTCATACTGACTCATCTATCCATTTTCTACGTATTTGTTCATGCGGGACCTTGGGTCCACGTGTACAGTCATCACTGTTTATCATACTTTAAATGTACTTGTCTCGTTGATTATCGCTTTTCATGGAAGATTTGAGAATACGCATGCCATAGGGCGACTCAGGCAGTAACGAAGACATACGATTTTGTCATCGATCAATTCAATGTTTTCGTCCTATTCAGTAGATATAAACGTTATATTATCTCACACGTCTGAGTTTAGACTATCTGCCAAACAAATCATAATGCAATAACCTTTATAAAAAGAAAAAATATCTATCATTTGTTGGAGGGTGCGAAACGGCTGCACTGCCCAGGCCAAAGCAGGTGAATTTTTCTGGGAACTGCCGGAGCTTTCGGTTAATCAAAGCCTGATTTGCAAGGCAGGTGGGCGGTTTGTGAAAACTGCAGTCTATTAGAGGAGCCAGTGCATCGGATCATACGTCTTTTCGTCCAAGGTGCCCAGTCGATTCAGTGACCACTGCCACAGTCAACAATGTTTGACGGTGTGATTCGTACGCTTCTTCTGTTTGAAATCAGGGTTTTCGGCCAACTCCCCTAGATAAACTGCCAGTGGTTCACCGGCTTGGTTGCAGTCCCGGATATTAACTTTTCGTGCTACCAATTTGGTGGGAAAACTCACGAGAAGACAATGAGCAGGGCTTCCTCAGCAGAAGGTATTTAAGACGCNGCTTTGTCGTACGGGGGCATTCCGCGAGGTGCAAGGGAGGAGTGACCAGCCGCAACCCGAGACAGTCACCCATCATACTGAGGCTTTCCGGGACTGTCTTATTCAAATAAAAAGTTTGACTCATAAGTGTGGTAGGTATGTGAAGTTCAGTATGTGTATCTGTTTGTACTGGCTTACGCTTGCCAATTTCCAATCACGGAACTGCAACAAGAAAGGAGCATCTAACCGAACAATATTCCCCCCTCCAGGACTTCCCTGACAATCGCTTTATAGTAAAAACAGACATCTTCAGATATGAATGCTAATTCCTTAGGAAATGGCTTGGTGATCATCGGTTGCACTTCCGCGGCCACTACGTCTTCACTTTCCTACTATCCTTTTATATTTCTCGACTGAGGGAAATGCATAGGTGGACGAATTGGCCAACATTATTACAAAGGATTCTTTAATGATAGGTTGATGGTCTCTCACATGTGGGCGCAAATACACCATATTTTCATGCATGCCTGTGTTGAACAGGATATGGGGGAAAACCCTGAGTGCCTGCTGTTCGCTAATGAAACCTGGTTACCTAAGCCCCGGGGCTTGGTATTTCCAACTACACGATGTCCTGCTAAGGTTGGCATGGTACTGAGCCTGTCGACAACGAAGCTATCCAAGTTGGGTGGTGGTATCGGGTTTCGAATCTCTAAACCATGCAGCCAAGGCACGTCATTGACCGTGACTTGAACCGCAAGCCCGCCATTGTCAAAAGACATGCTGTAAAAAGGACTAGGAGAACCTGTTTATTGAACTAAATCGGAAGATTGTCATTGGATGGAGAAGCGGAGTGGATGTGTTTGTTAGCTTAACGGGTCTGGGAGAAACGGGAGATTAAAAGCGAGAAGTACGACTTCTAACGACGGAAATTTGATAAGGATGAGCAGCTGTCTGTGGATTCCGTGGGCGTGCAAAATTTATAGGAAGAGCAACTGCCCGACGAGGGTCTATGAACTGCAAATGGGACGGAGGCTCAGCGTTAGTCTTGTAATTAACAAAACTCCTGAGCTCAGTATGGAAAGAGGAAGAGGTTCCAGTTGAATGGTGTGAATCGGTGATCATACCGATTTACGACGGAACCTCTTGTGAAAACCACAGGAATTAGTTAAATCAACATCATCCCCGAACGTCTCGCTGGTATTATACTCCGTCGATTGGTTGCCGCACGTGAAGTGTGCACGCGTGAGAACCAGGCTGGTTTTAGACCTAGTCGAGGTTGTATCGACCACATCTTCACTGTCCACCAAGTTCTTTTCGCAGACACCATCTCTGTTTTTCTCGATTTGAAAGCGGCTTTCGACTCAATCCACTGCTTTAAACTCTGGCGCTGCCTTTCTCTGAAAGGTGTGCCCGAGAAGTTTATTTCAATATTACTATACTAATAGCCGAAGTCCAGTCCGGGCTTACGGCACTTCTTCGCCCGAGATCACTGCGGAAAGTGGTGTTCGTCAGGGTTGCCCTCTCTCTTTTCTATTTAGCTTTGCTTCAGATCTGACTAAGGAAACAGCCCTATCCTCGTGCGAGAATAGCGGTTTCGATTTACTCCTAGGTGGCAGACTGTCTGAGCTAGAGTATGCGGATTAAATTGTACAACTCAATGAAGATTCAGGTAATTTGCAAGCTTTTCTGAATACTTTGCGTGCTAGTTTAACCAGGTTCGGTATGCGTTTTACACCTTCAAAGTGTAAAATGTTTCTACAAGACTGGGTCGGTCCAGTACCCAGCCTCACTCCTAAGACCTGGCACGAGTATATGAAGTCCTTGACCCCAGGGTCCTGGGTCACATAGGTCTCATTAGGCTCCCCCGGTGAACGCATCACGGATGAAGTGTCAGCTCGAATACAGAAGGCTCGATTGGCATTTGCCAAAGTGAGACATCTGTGGCGTCGTCGTTACATCCGGTTGTCTGTGAAGGGTGGAGTGTATGCCGCGGCAGTTCGGCCAGTTTTTCTATCCGGCGCAGAAACTTGGCCATTAAGGAAACAGGATAAAAATAGACTGTC